AGTTTAGCTGCATCTATGCACGGTCATGTGCCTTGGCCTCTTCATCTCAGGCGAAAGCAAGGACCTCGGCCTTGCGGGGATGTTGGAAGATCAAGACAGTGGCTTTGGGTGTTGTTCTAAGCTGGTGTGGGAACGGCTGGATTGAGTGAATGCTGAACACACGTACCTTGTCACTCATCGTACTTGCACTGAAGTGGGGCCTGTGAGCATCCTAAGTCTAGAACAAGAGATTCCCAAGGCTGGAAGCAAGCACAAACCAACTCCCCAGGCAAGGCTCCCCTCTTCATACAATCCTTCCATGGACTCTGCATGGCCACTGTCGCAAGGTCCCACCCCTTCCTGACACCCTGTCACTCTGGGATCTAGGTCCTACTGACCCACGAGCTCCATGGCCTTCTGCCTCCCTAGGCTTCACCTCTGCCTTCTTTGCCAGATCTTTGCTCATTCTGCCCTTCCTGGCGGACATTCTGTCTGCTCTTCCAGCTAACAGGGTCTCTTCTTTCCAGCTCTGGTTCACCTGTGACCTTTCTAGGGCATGCTCCTGAACTTCCCAGCCCTAGCTCGGGGCCCTTATACTGTCCTGTCTGGTCCTCACCACTCTTGTGATTCCTTCTACCCTGACTGTCATTTGCCTGATTGGTCCCCTCCACTTCACTGCTGTGATAGCAGCTACACAAGAAGGCACCTAGCCTATGTTTGCTGCCTTGGGACCAGTTGGGCATCACTCTGTTAGAACCTTCTTTGTTTTCAACTTTTATTTTTAATTATGTGTTTGTGCTTGTATAAAGGTATAGCTAGTGAGTGCCGGAGGCCAGAATCAGACTCCCCGTGGGACTGGAGTTACGGGTGTTTGCTTCATGAGGGCCCTGGAAACTGAACTCTGAAGAGCATCATGTACTCTTAACTGCCGAGCCATCATCTCTCCATCCCCGACAATTAGCTTAATAGCCACCCACATCCCCATTGAGCAAACAAGGACTCCGATAATGGAGGCTCCCATTGTGAGTCAGGGACAATCTGGGAGATAGGAAAGGCTGGGTGTGGCTATATAATGTGTTGTGCGTGGATTGTTAGGGAGCTGCAGAGCCTTGATGGGCACACAATACACCAGAGTGGGAGGAGATCAGCACTCAGAGGCACTGGGCTGGCAGCCGGGCCACCGCTCCTTCTTCTCTGCATCTGCAGCCTCTGAGAAAGGCTCCACTCTGCAGTGTGGCTCTAGGGTCCCCTGGATCTTCTCTTATCCCATGGGATTCCAGCATCCAAAGCCACAGCTGCCACCAGTCCCAATTCACTGATGGACACACACGGGCCCAGGGAGGATGAAGGGTACTGTGGCACCAAAGAAGGCAATAAAACCAGGGGGACCCAGGTCAATGTTCACAGTTGGTGCATAGGTAGATGTCATAATGGGCACCAGTCTGCCTCCACGAACTGTCCCAGATCACCCCGCCAACCAACAGGTCTGACATTTTCTCTTTCCCATGTGACACTTTCATTGCGTCCTCCTTGATGGGCATCTCATTTTCCAGATATGGCTTCCCGTCCCAGGGTCTTTTGGAAACGGTCTGGAAGCTCAAGGGGTCAGGCTGGGCTTTGCACAAAGGGTTCATGTTAGAGACCAACTGCCCAGGCCAACTTGTCGCTCTCCTTTGTGGCAACTGTAGAATTTCATTGCCTCCCTAGAGTCCCCCTAGCTCAGCTTAGACGCTCTCAAGTTCAAGTTGATTTTAATAGCCTCCCTTCCCCTTTGTATTGGGCTATTGATCTTCATTTTGCAGACTGACTTTGGCGGTGAACCACTGTGTCTTGGAAGGCTTGTCGGGGCCTCATTTAGGCTTGCAGCTTTCATTAGCACAGTTAACGTCCTGTGTGTTGCACACATATTTCTTCCCGTGTAGTCTCTCTCCGGTTTGCTATCCAGATGGTTTTAAAAATCGAGGAAGCTGCTGTGTTTGCCTCGAGCTGCTTATTTTGAATTTCAAGATTGCAGCCTCGGTCAGAAGATAAGTGAAACAGCTGGTCGGGTTGATTCGCCTGCGACTTGCCAAGTACAAAATGAAGTCTCTGCTCATAATTTTCTTTGTTTTAAATAATTAACACAATTACCAATTTCTATTCCCCTTGGGATGCTGCAGAAGTGTATTTAAGTTAATTTCTTCCACTGCTATTCTTGTGTGTGTGTGTATGTGTGTATCTGTGTGTGCTTGTGTCTGCATAGTGTGAATGTAGGGGCATGTGCACACGTGTGCACAGTCACGTGGAAGCAGAGGCTGACATTCATCTTTCTCAATCACTCTGCATCTTACTCTTGAGATGGGTTCTCTTACCTTCCTAGGGCTCCCTGGTTTAGCAAGATGGGCCAACAGGCCCCAAGGAGCCTCTTGTTTCAATCCCTCTATTGCTGGGGCCAAATATGCACCACCTGCTAGGGGTTGGAACTCACAGCCCCAAGCTTGCATGACGGAGCCGTCTGGGTTTTGAAACTACGCTCTGTCAGAACTTTTAGAGAGTAGATATATTTTACTCTGATTAATCTGTATCTAAATGGTAACCTGTCATCACCATGTAGGCAGCTCTAGAGAGAAGCAAGGCTTAAGTTAGATAACCCCATACACAAAAAGTCTGAGAGTGAAACAAACCCCCCAAACTCTGAGGCAGTAGTTTCTCACTGCCCACCTCAAGCATAAACTGTTGAATAAGGGGATACTTTAAAGCCAGAAATTGCTACGGAAGGAACTGGTCCCAGTAGTGAGAGGGCTGGGCTGGTATGTGTCTGGCATCGGGTGCACCATGCCGGTCATCCTCTGGGGAAGACATTTTCAAATGCAGACCAAGAGAGGACAAACTGGGAAAATCAGCGTCCATTAGCAGCCACACAGGCTGTGCTGTTTTTCTTGGGCCCCTGCTGTGCCCTTGATTTCCTGATTGCTCAGAACAACGCTAACACAATCCTGTGATTCCTGTGGAAACCTACCCGATTGGGTTGAGCTGGCCAGACCAGAGGTTCCTAGCAGGGGGCTATTTTGCCCTCCAGAGACACCTAGCAAAGTCAGGAGACCATCTAAAATCTTATGACTTGGGCTGGGGAGGTTGGAATACTGCAAGCAGTCACTAGGCACAGGACAGCCTCTTCTCCAACAAAGAAACTGTTTCAACTGTCAACAGTACAGAGGCTGAGAAACCTTGGGTGTGGGAGTGTGTGTGGACACACACATGACCACTTGTATAATATGAGCTTCCTTAGCAGAAGGGTTGGTGTACCATGCTACCCAGACTCTCCAGAACTCAGACATGTCACTCAGGCATGATGTGTTTGGGTACTGAGTTTTGTAGCTAACTGAACGAATAGCTGGGTTCTGGCCATCTGCTGATGGCGCTAATGGTAGAGTAGACTTTGATCAAATCAATGCCAGGATTAGGCCTAGCACGGGGGTGGAGCGGGGAGGGACACCTGGAAGCTTGAGCTGAAAAGAGTGGCTACTCTCTTGACCTCGTGGGTCTGACCCAAGGGCTGCCCTGCTGTGAAGCAGATGCCCACTGGCTGTTCCACTGGAGGGTCTTCTCTCTAGTGGGGTTGAACTGGCAGTGGTGAAGGGTCATGAGAAACGAAGCAACAAGCCTCGGTGCTAAAATTCCGTGATTTTATTGGCATGGCAAGGAACTTAAGGCAGGTTGCTAGGGTAATGCATCACCAGCTCTGGCCTGTTCAGAGCCCTGGGGAGAGCCAGAGAAGTGGAGGAGACGCAGTGTCCACCACAGCAGCCAGCACCAGCGCCCCCCTTACCTGCCCCTGGGTGTACCTCCTGTTCTTACTCGCTGGCGAGCCAGTGAGGAGGGAGGCGATTGTAGCTAGGAAGGCTCAGCGCTGAGGGCTAACCAGTTATGTGACGTCTGATCTCCACTCAGCCAGAGAAAACAGACCATGACGGATGAACCCTAGGTGCATGCATCTGCAAATCTTCAAATTGCGAGCATGCCCTCCCTCGATTTCCCTCCGGGTTCCTTTATCTTTTCTCAAAAGATCTTTTGTAGAAACTTGGGACTAGGAAAGCAAAGCCTTGATGAAGAGCTACGGTGCCCCAAACTACCTATGACAGGGTCTCAAGGGTGCTTTAGTCCTGCCGCCAGACTGCAGAGCCTGGGACACCGGCTGCTGTGCACTGCATGGTTTCTGGGTGCCAGGCAGTGCCTGTCAACAAGCTGGGGGCCCCGTGGCTCACCCTCTGCACTTCATAGTAATCCTAGACAAAGGTAGGGTTTTCATGTCCATCTCGGAGGGAGAAAGCCGGGGCCCAGATCCCTGGTGGGTAGGCACACAGTCTTATGCAGGGTTAATCTGGGCTTCCAAGCTACAAAGTTTGACCAGGGCTGGAATTCTTAGTTTGTGCCAGGGGTGAGTCCTGGGTTTGGCACACCTATGACGGCAGTTATTCTCATATTTACTGTTGGCACCTGGAATATCACAGCTGGCATTTGTAGAGCCCTCATTAGGAGGGCATTTGTTCTAGAAAAGGCTTACTTCTTCACCAAGGGTTCTTGAGGCCCCATCCCCCCACCGCTGCTGGGTATCATCCATGAGAAGCAGAGCTGTATCCCCGCCTGTTTTCTCTCCCAACCTTGCAGTAGATCACAGCCTTACCAGTCTATGGGCTTGGAGGGCAAAGCCAACCAACAGCCTGTTCTATGTAACCTGGACTTTGTCCCTTACCTGGGTAACTCGCTTGCTTAGGATAGCCTGAACCTCCTTGGAGCCCCAACACAAGGGGATGATGCTCTGGGTACCTGGAAGTCAGGTTCCAGGGGCAGAATCCACACACTGCCTAGTAGCCTGACTCCTCCATCAGAGCTTAGAAAGATCTTGGAGACACCGCAGGCGCCCACCAGGTGAGTCTGGAAAAAGCGCACACAGAGCAGCAGCACAGGACAGGTACCCAGGCTCAGTGCGACCGTCTCCAAGGGTCATTAGAAGGGGAATTGATGGGGAGAGTGGCACCTACCTCCCAAGAGTACCAGGATGCATGCAAAGCGGAGCATAGCTGCAGGTATCCCTCAGTCCAAGGCTGGCTGGAGGATGAGGCGCTTACAGGAGACTCCGGCAGCAGTGGGCTGGGGCAGGCTGGGTCCTGTGCCCCTCGCCAAGGCTGCACTCCTGCTAGTGGGCTGGAAATCCTGGACTGCTGAGCTGCACACTCCAAGTCTAACTTGCCAGAAGAGGTGGAGACCGCCCCGGAGCAGTGCCGCCGCTCCTGTAGCTCACACTCCCCTGACTCTCCTGCACCCTGCCTCCTGGGCCCTCGCCTCCCCAAGAGTCCTCACTCAGGGCAAGGAAGCCTCCCAACAGAGCCAGGGCACCCTGCTTCACGCCCCAGCGCACTCAGGCCAGGCTGTTCCCCGGAAGGGCAAGGACCTAGGGATGCAGAAAGTTTTTCTTAGCCTTTCTTGGCCCTGGACCCCAGACTCTACTTTTGAGGTCTTCCAGATACTATTAGCGCAGGGCCGCAGTGAAAGTGTCCAAGTCGGCACCACTTTCTGTAATTAGGCAAAGCCTGGGGCTATCTGGGATGGGTTTCCTCCCCCACCCCAACTCCTCCTCCTCCTGCCACTACCCTGCCGGACTCATCCGAGTGAGTCGGTTTTGGGTGGCAGCGCAGAGGCAAAGCAGCCGTGAAGACGGCAGAATGCCCAGAATGCCTCCAGACGGGTCCCTGGAGCTCGCCAAGTCAGGCATTGAAAGAGACAACTTCTGTGGCAAAACAAGCCTTGTGGCCACCTGGGAAGAGGACATGAGACAGTTAGGGTTTTTATAGAGAGGGATGCGCCTAGGGAAAGTGATTCTGGTCTGTCCTCTCCACAGGGAGCACTGGGGCCATTCAAATAAAACACAGGTGGGCACCAGGCTTGGTGTGCCAGTCCCAAGGGGCAGCTCCCTGTGCTGTCATCAACGGGGAGAAGATGTAAGAAAGGGGAGAGAAAAAAAGGAGAGAAGAGGGGGAGGGAGGGAGAGAGGGAGAGGAGGAGGAGGAGGAGGAGGAGGAGGAGAGGTCGAGAATGGAAGGGATAGAGGAAGAAGGAAGCAGAGAAGGGATGGTGGGAGGGAGTCACGAAAAACAAAAGAGGAAGAGGAGGGAGACTGTCTCCCTGACGTCGTCTGTATCCAGGCACCTGTTGGAGCAGTCAGCTTGGCCCTCAGAAGACCTCGTAGGGTCACCTGCCCCACTTCAGTGGGCTGAGCATCCCATCAGGGACCCAAGATACCTCTTTTCTCTTTCTTGAGGAAGGGTGAGTTCCTCAGTGACTCAGGAACCCCAAGATCCCTTCACCTCCATCCCCAGGACCCCAGCCTAGGACTCAAGGCTGTCCTTACTATTCCCCAGAGGCAAGAAGAAAGCCAAGTGCCTAGCCCTGCATGTGACCCTCCCCCAGTGAGGTGTGAGGGGATCTAGCGGTCTGCTTCCAGAAGGTGGTGTTTCTTTTGGTGCCTATGGGTTACTGAGCACAGCATGGGTTTGTGGCGGACTTCTGAAACCCAGATCAGGGTATGGCTCTCCTGGCCGACAGTTGTCCCTGTCACAGGAAGTTTGCTTAAGGGCCAGAGAAGAGCCCTTTAGGGTGATGATTTATAACTTGCACAACTGTGATGATTTGTAGCAACTATGTGTCCATACATTTGTAAACGTTGCCATTGCAGATTCAGGTTCTCTGCCATCTGCCCATCACGGGAAGACTGGCCTCTCTGGCCTTCTGGCATTGCAGGTCCCAGGATGTAGATAGAAGTTCAAATATTAGTGGGTTCTTTTTTTTTTCTTTGAAAAGGGGTTTTGCATGGCTGTCCCAGGTGGAGTTATAATTTGATCTTTCAGAACTCACCATGCTGCTGTTAAAAGGAGGAGCCCCCGCCGAGGGTGGCAGGCAGGAGAACTGTATTGGCTGATTTCTCCTCTGGAGCTGTTGATTGCTGAGAACACAGGATGACCACCTGTTGTGTCCCTCACATCCAAACGAGCCAGTAGTTCTCATTAGCTCCACATTTCAGCCATCTCTGCATCCCCAGCGTGAGAAAAATGAGTTTTGAGTTTGGACCATTGTCCCCAGCCCACACAGGTGGGTAGCAGGAGGTGGAAGGAACAGTACTCAGGAGAGGAAGGGAAGCTAGAAAAAGCAGGGTTCTCAAGCGATGGGTATACACTCCTCACTCCACAGGTGAGGAGGCAGAAGCACGGAGGGGGCGGGTGAATTTCCTGGAACTTAGCTGTTTGGAGACAATACAGCCTCCACTTTAACACAACATAGGCGAAAATGAAGTTAAAAGGGGCCTGGGGGAGGGTTCCCCCGTACAACAGTTTGCCGTGCAGATTAGGGACTTCCATTCTAGCTCTTGAACCCGTGTGAAGGTGGAGGAGGGAACTGACCCACAAAGGTGCTCTCTGACCTCCATAGCCCACGGCACACCTATCCAAGTGCACCCAGAACAATAAAAAAACAAATAGGCAAATGGAGTGTTACAGCCCTTTCCAGGGGAGACTACCGACAGACCAATGAGAGACCTCCAACTAGCTCTAGTTTGGAGAGAAGTGATTTTGTAGGAGTTACCGAAAACAAATGACTCATTGCAACACCATCAAGTCCCTTGGGTGGCTTATGTACATCACTGAAGAGTTCCACCCACAACACACACAGCTCACTTAAAACTGGAAGAGTGTTCCGGAACAGGTATGGGCAGCCATCCTACCAAAGCGTCTCCCCAGTGCATTGTTGGGGAAGGGAAGGGTTTCGGAGAGTTTGCCTCCACTCCCACTAGGGAATGCCAACAGTGGAGTCCTGGGGGTGTCATGCTGGTGGCCACCGTTGCTCCAATTCATGCCGGTGAGGGTCAGGTCTAGCCCAGAAAACAGCCATACAACATAGTATTGGAAGAAGAGTCTCCTGGAATTGTGAGGAGATGCCCGAGTGTGAGGGGAAGGAGAGACTAAAGTTTTGACTCAGCTATGACTTCGAGCTGACTTTACTTTTACAAATAGAGGAAGGAAAGAAAAAGAGACGAAGAGGAAAGAGGGAAGAGAGGGGAGAGGACAGAAGGAAGGGAGGGAGGAAGGGAGGAAGAAGGAACTGAGGGAGGGAAGAAGATGAAGAAAAGGACAGAAAGCTGCATTTGTCTCATGTCACGAGCCATTTCCCCCCTAAAAATCATTACAGGAACCATCACCTTGGGGAGTCTGCAGAGAACCTCACACCCATAATTATGTTCTATTGAGAGAACCTGCCCCACACCCAATTAACTTATCTGTTAGCGGAATGTGTCCAGCTATCCAGGGAACCAGGTGTGGCAACTTGTGACTTCTTGGCCTACCTCCTGGCCTACGTGACCTGGAACACGCGGCAAGAATCTCGTTTCCCTACCCTTCAGGGGCTATATAAGCAGCAACCATGATCCTAATAAAGGGGGCTTTGACAAATCTGCTTGGCCTCATTCTTCTGTCCTAGCTCATTCCCTTCCAGGTAGCGCCCCTCCGAGACCCTGGAATAACTGATTGCAGGGTGGGTTACAAACCCCTAGACTGAGTAACCCACCCAACGCAATCGACAGTCTCAACCTTCTGCTTTGAGAGAGGAAGGAGGCCACACTCAGCTCTAGGAAACCGTAGACTCTGTAAGATCCAGAGTAGCTGTGTTGTCTGGGAGAGAAGCCCCCCACCCCACCCCAGTGCTGGTGCGGGGCCTCTTAGGACATCATTGTTTGGAGTCTGCAGAGCTCTGCTTTCTAGGTTGGTAACCACAGAGGGACCATTCAGGGAGTCAGAGGGTAGTTGTTAAGGGGTAGCAATGAGGGTCCTTGGCGGACACAGGGGCACTAGGGATCCCTCCATAGTCTCCCCCCTCTAAACACCCACTTTCCTATCCTTGACCGTGTTAAAGCACTGAAGGAAGATGGACCAGAATCTTGCTGAGAAATGCTGTTTGTTTTGTTTCCTATCAAGGCGTCTGATCAAAGAAATGGTGGCCGGCTTAGTTATCTAGTAACCAAATAAATATCCAGGTGGCCTCCCGGGTTGCTCTGGATGAGTGGGGGGCAGACCAGAGTAGAATCCAGCCTTCTCAGATCTGAAAACTCCCTGGAAGAGAAGGGAAGGCCACATGGCTGGTGCGCAGTGGAGCCTAGCTGGGAAAGAGCTGGTACTTGGAAGTCTGGTTTCTCAGCCTGCCCCTACACTTCTGGATTCTGCGTGGTTTCTTGTCTGCCTGGTTCTTAGGAGGCCGCATGTGGAAGCCCTTTGAGCTTTTTGGAACCTCCCTCATCAGTCCTTATATCTGTCCTAGGCATTTTCTTCTCACTTCATCTGGATGTTGTGTGGATGGCTGTGGGGAGGTGGTGACATTGGAGAACTTAGCTTAGTGGATATGCTTGAATGAATAAATGGATTACTGGGTAGAGGGATAAGAGAGTGGATGGATGAATGGATGGATGGGGGCTTAGATGTGTGGGTAGATGGGTGGAGAGTTGAGTGATGGAGAGACTAAGGCTTGATAGATGAATCAATGGATGGGTAGATGGATGGATGCATGAGTGGGTGACGGATTGAAGTTTAGGTGGATGGGTGGATAGATGGATGAGTGAGTGGGTAGGTGAGTGGTGGGTGCGTGGGTGGGAGGGTAGATGAGGGGTGGGTGCTTGGGTTAGTGTTGGCTGGCATTGTAGCTGTCACAATTGCTGCCCGAATAGTGTGGCTTTCCCCCCGCACATTCACTAATTAGAAACAATTCATTATTGAATCCTATAATTCATTAACTCACCCCTGAACTACCAGCCCCTGAACCGTGGAGACAAACCCCAGTCCTGGTCCTCGAGAGACGTTTTCCCACAAAGGCAGGCCGTGGTTCCTCGTAGGGGTAGCAGGAGGGCCGAGAAGGTGGATGGATGTTTCCACAGAGACAGAAATCCTGCCCCTTCCCGGTTCTCCTTGGATGCTACTCTGCCTAGACCTCGGAATACAGGCCAGGCTCCATATTCTCAGACCTTCACACGTTTGTCCAACCATTGTTCCAGGCAGAGTCCCCTGCCCACCCCCTTTCCCACCTACCAGCTGGTGCCAAGAAAGGGCACACCTACTGAGACAGATTCTCCTGCTTTGTGGGAGGGGGAAATAATGCCAAGTCCGCTGGTTATGAAGTGTGTTGTTATCCTCCCATGGAAAAATCAATACGCACTCCTAATACACTACCTAAAAAGCACAAAGTTTATTATTTCTCTTCCATTATGAAATTAGCAGTGCTCCCAATATACTGTTTGGAAAATACAGAGAAAGTAGAACGAAGAAGAAATTGACAGTCATATATACTCCCACTAGCCAGGGACAGCCACGTCTGACCCTGGATATTCGAGTCTCTTCTCAGTGTTTCTCTACCTCTGTGTCTACCTTTCTCTATCCGAAAGGGTCTCTGTATCCTGCTGTAGCCTACCTCCAAGCTGCTGCCAAATCTCATATCAAAATAAG